ACAAAAATCGTACACCTATGGATGAGGACAGTGGGAGGGGTAAGGGCAGAGGGTGGGGTGGGAACCAGTTGGAGGGGAGCTATGGGGCGAAAAAAAGAGGAACAACTGTAATCTGAACAATAAAGATTCATTTTAAAAAAGTATATATACGTTTTTATTGATTTCAGAGAGAAAAGGAGAGGGAGAGAGAGAGAGAGAATCATCAATAATGAGAGAGATACATTGGTTGGCTGCCTCCTACAAGCCCCCTACTGGGGATTGAGCCTGCATCCCCAGATTTTGCCCTGACCTGAATCCATGGTAGACACTCCTGGTTCATGGTAGACACTCAACCACTGAACTACACCAGCCAGGCAAGTTGTTTTCTTCTTAGTTTCTTCACCTTTTTAGCCCAGGCCCCCAAACCCTCTACTGTGACAGCAATCAGTCTGTTTTCCTATCTTTGAGTCTATTTTTATTTTGTTTGTTAGTTTATTTTGTTTATTAGATTCCACATGAGTGAAATCTTTCTCTGATTGGTTTATTTCACTTAGTATAATGTTCTTCATCAATGCTGTGGCAAAGGGGAAGATTTCCTTCTTTTTTTTTTTTTCTACAGCTGAGCACTACTGCATTGTGTAAATGTACCACAGCTTTTTTTTTTTAATCTTCACCCAAAAATATGTTTAGAGAGATAAAGAGATAGAGATAGAGAGAGAAAAAAAAACATCGATAAGTTGCCACCCATACATGCCCCAACCAGGTATTAAACCTGAAAAGAGTATAGGATGATCAGAGGTTTCAGATAGAAGGAAAAAAAGATAGTTAATAAGAAAATAAGGATACAGCTTGGATTTGAAATTGGAGTAATGAAGTTTTATCCCCCGACAGTAATGTTTAGCAATACTTAGGTAGTGGAAAACCATGAAATAGTGTCAAATGGAAGCAGAACACCTAGTAACAAGTTGTAATATCGATCAGGTTTACTAGTGCTGGTAAGGATTTTTCTCAAATTGTAGAATACACAGCTTGCCATTTCCCCCCATCCCCATTATAGGTCTAGTTTTTTTGTGTTTTTTTTTTTTCCTTTGAATGTTCAAAGCGTTGACTTGCTCTGAAACTGTGACTTCCCAAATGACACCATGTGACCCTTTTTTTAGGGGATAAGTCCAGTGCCTTTTGTATCTACCACCTCTTTTTATAATGATGAGAATATAAAGAAATGCATGTTAACCTGCACAAAAGTCTGGATTAAAATAGGCTACTGGATTGGTGTGCTGTGTGACATTAGGGGCACATATATCTTTATATGAGAGTATAAAAATAACTGTTTTCTTTACAAATTGGTTTTATTTTTTTAAAGTGTTGAATACTTTGTCATGTCCTCTTTTTGGGTTTCTTTCACATAAAAATTTGATTGGGCCCTGACCGGTTTGGCTCAGTGGATAGAGCGTCGGCCTGCGGACTGAAGGGTCCCCGGTTCGATTCTAGTCAAGGGCATGTACCTTGGTTGTGGGCACATCCCCAGTAGGAGGTGTGCAGGAGGCAGATGAATGATGTTTCTCTCGCATCGATGTTTCTAACTCTCTATCCCTCTCCCTTCTTCTCTGTAAAAAATCAATAAAGTATATTAAAAAAATTTTAAAAAATAAAAATTTGATTGGGATTTTTTTACCTTTAAACATTTTGTGAGTTTATTTCTAATTTTATTGTTCAAATGTTTTCTAATTTGCTCACTTCTGCTTTTGTAAAGTTTTAATTTTTATTACTATAACATTGTTTCTTTTGTTTATTTTTAACTGTTTTATAAATTGTCATGTTTAAAATAATATAATGAAACCACCCTCTCCCCTCACACACACATTGATCACCTAACTCCAAAACATTACCAGATCATAGCCAATTTTTTATACAGCTTCTGTATTAGTTTTCTAGGGCTGCTGTAACAAAAGTACCACAAACTGGGTGGTTTAAAACAACAGAAATTCACTCTTTCAAAGTTATGGATGCTAGAATTCTCAAATGCAGATATTGACAGTATTGGTTTCTTCTGAAAACTCTGAAGGAGAATTTGTTTCATGCCTCTCTTCTAGCTTCTGGTGATGGCTGAGAATCCTGGTCATTTCTTGGCTTGTAGATGTATCACCTCAATCTCCGCCTTCATCCTTACGGTGTTCTTCCTTTGTCTCTGTGTTTTATGGCCATCTTCTTATAAGGACACTAGTTGTATTGGATTAAGGGCCCACCGTACCCCACAATGACCGAATGTTAACCAGTTATCCCTGCAATTACCCGATTTCCAAATAAGATTACACCTACGGTACTGGAGGTTTATTAGGACTTCACATAACTTTTTGAAGGAGACACAGTCCAATCCATAGTAGCTCACCATCTGCACATTGATTGGTTGCCTCCCATATATACCCCTACTGGGGATTGAACCCATAACTTAGGTATGTTTCCTGACCAGGAATTGAACCCTCCACGCTTTGGTGTACGGGAGGACACTCCAAACAACTTAGCCACTTTGCAAGTGTTTTTTTCAAACCTGTCTTCTTACGTTGCCTTTGGGTCAACATAAACCACTTATTAGTCAAAAGATTGTGCTTGAACACCCTTAGCTAGTTAGATTTTAGTCCTTTGGTCATTTCATGTGTGTGTGTGTGACTTAGATTTATTTTCCAAGGAGATCATCCCCAAGGTTCTCTCTTCAGTCCTTTCTGAGAGCATGCAGTCTTGAGCATGCACAGTCTTTAGACCATCAGGTGTGAGTGTGATTTTATTTTCCAGTCTGAATTCTTAGGAGTTACCCTTAGAGTAACTTATTGTTCAGCCAGTTTTTGATCATAGGTTGTACAAAAGCCCCTTGAGCCTTTTTGTGTAATTTTGTGGCTTTAGGAAATGCTTTTAAATTTGCCCCAAATCCCACTTCAATTTCTCCTGATTGGGTGCAACCTAGTTCATATACATAGCCTTTTGGACCCCCAGATAGGAGTGTGATCTAGGAGGGCCCTTATTTGCTAACCTTCTGGCTGGAGCTGGTAATTCTATCTTAATTGCTCACTACCTAAGTGTTTTTGACTGAGCCCTTAGGCATGAACTTCTCCAAGGTCTGTCCCAAATGTCAGTCCTCTCAGGCAGAGCTGCTGAGTTATTTGTTCTTAAGATGCACGGGGCAGAACCTCTGCACTACTGCTCTGGAGCTGGAACTGGGGATAGGGCAGCACCCTGCTTCTCCACAAGAGTCACCTGTAGTTTGACAGGGTGCTAGGAGGAAAGGGGATAATAACCGCTGGCTGCTTATCCCTCCTAGCCTGTCCATTCTATTAGCAAGCTGGGGAAGGGATGATAGGACCTCAGGATTCTTGGCCTCTTGTAGGTGGGAGTTTATGAGTGGGAGCTACCAGGAATGTGTAGGATGAGAGTCACTGGAGACCTGGCCTTCCTCGGGTAAATTTATACTGGTAGCCTTAGACTAGGAGCTGGGATAAAAGGAAGCCCTCATCTTCTTAATCACACTCAACAGAAGGGACCTTATATCACAGGAATCTAGCTCTGTGTGTGGAGGTGGTGTGGTGGTGATGGGAGCAGATCATGGCTCAAATGTCACAGAAACTGTTCTTACTGAAATTTAGTAGATTTTCTTGGATAAAATTTTCTCAATTGGTTGTATGTCTTTAGGGCAATTTTTAGAGACTTCAGAGTGCTTTCACCTGTGAAATAGTTAATTCAGTAGGGAAAAGATCCATGGAGCTCTTCACTCTGCCATTCCAGTAGCCTGAACATTCTATTTCCTCTTTAAAAAAAAAATAAATAAATAAAGACCCATTGTAATTTTAGAATGGTCAAATGATGGTATCTTCTCACTGTCAGCTCTTTGGAAGTTACCAAGGTATTTTTTTTTTTGAGGCCTATTTGTATATTTTCTCAGAATTTCACTCTCTAAAATGTTACTATTTTAGTCAGCTCTGTCCTTTCCTTTTTTAATCTTCTTGATCATTTTTAGACTAAGAATGTATGTTTAATTCTTCTATTGTAACTCGGGACTTTTTATAGGTATAAAATAATTTTTATAATTCAGTTTAGTATGAATCCATATTTTTCAACAGGATTTGATATTCATTTACATGACCAGGTACTAGGCTATTTTGGTAAATATTGTTGAATGTTGTTACTTGGTACCACAGTACACAGTGGGGAAATCTCTCTACCTCTAAAAATTCATGTGATCCTATTGAAGCTGGCTATGTTATACCTTATTATTGTTCAGAAATTGGTCTCATTTGAGAAGTTTATCACCTGTGTATATGTAAACATTTTTTTATATACAACTTCTACTTAGCTGATAATTTTATTCATTATACAGATGCTTGTAGATTGCCATTTATATAATTCAGTCTTTCATGAAAAGTGGTACCGTCTATCAGCTATTTTCATTTGGGAAAAGCAAACAGGTTGATGCCAGAGTTGCTGGGAGTGTTGGTTGGCTGATATCTCTTGGGGGCATCTCTGACCTTCATAGCTAAAGATTCTTGTGGACAGTTGGAATGGCCTAAACCTTGCTCACTCACATAGGACTGTCTTTCATCTCTTAGCTCCCAACTACCTCTGTCAAACTCCTTTAGATGTGCTTACTTCCAGAAGAAAGGAAGGGCAAAACCTTTTTTTACAGCTTTTTAACAGGAGTCAGTGAATATTTTGAGGAGGTTTTAAGAACAAGGTGTGGTAAGGCTGTGTTTTGGTCTTTGGTCTCAGTGCCTGTGAAGATTATTATCTTGCAGGGTTTTTGAGTCGGAGACAAAAACCCTTTCTGAAATCCTAGGTCTACTTATATGTCCTTGTTTATGTTTTCATATTTGTACTGTTTGTAAAAATTAGGTTACTGTCAGAAAAAATGAATTCATGTTTAGAAGTAAAGTAGATTAGATAGTAAACCATGGTCTTGACTTCTGAATATTTTCAGTTCCTTCAAGCTCTTGTAAGGTTTTGTTTTATTTTTGTTTTTGTTTCTGTATCCTAAGACTTGCTACATTTGTGATGAACAAGGAAGAGAAAGCAAAGCAGCCACTGGTGCTTGTATGACATGTAATAAACATGGATGTAGACAGGCTTTCCATGTGACATGGTAAGTATGTTTTCATCATTGTACAGAAATGAGGAATACCTTGTAAATGAAAGATTTAGTTATGTGCCCAAATATTATTTACAGTAAATTTTATTGGGATAGTTTTTATGTTTATATTTACTTACTTGTAATAAAGATAATTCTAATAATTGAACTTACTAGAGTGAATTTTCAGTAGGTGGATGCTGGTTCTAATGTACTTTATTCAGTTTCATTTTGTTTAAAATATTAGTTTTAGTTACCTACCCTTTGATTTGTTATTATGATTAAAAGAACTGATGTAGGTACTCTTAGTGCAGTGCCAGAAAGGATTTAATGAATGATAGTAGCATTTCTTTGCTGTCTTTGCTTTAAGGCGGAAAAAAAGCAGTTGCCATCATCATTATTATTATTACAAGAGGCCCAATACATGAAATTGTGTCAAGGGAGGTTGGCCCTTTGCAAGCAACTACCTGGCGACACCCTCGGCCCCACCCCCGGCCCACTGGTCGTTCCTGAAGGTCATTCCAGAAGGTCCAGAGGCCCGGTACATGGATTCGTGCACCAGTGGGGTCCCTCAGCCTGGCCTGCGGGAGTGGGTCAGAACCGGCTCTCTGACATCCCTGAGGGGTCCTGGATTGCAAGAGGGCGTAGGCCAGGCCAAGGGACCACACTGGTGCACGATCGGGGCCGGGGAGGGAAACGGGGAGTTGGCCAGCTGGGGAGGGACCATGGGAGGGCTCCAGGGCGTATCCGGTCCATCTCGCTCAGTCCTGATCTGCCAGACCCCAGCAGCAAGCTAACCTACCAGTCAGAGTGTCTGCCCCCTTGTGGTCAGTGCACGTCATATTGACTGGTCGACCGGTTGACTGTCTGCCCTCCGGTGGCCAGTGCACGTCATGGCAACCAGTTGAGTGGCCTTAGCATATCATTAGCATATTATGCTTTGATTGGTTGAACAGATTACTGGACACTTAGCCTATTAGGCTTTTATTATATAGGACTAGAGGCCCAGTGCATGAAATTCGTGCATGGTGGGTGTGGGGGGGTGTCCCTCAGCCTGGCCTGCACCCTTTCCTATCCAGGACCCCTGCCTGCCTGATTGCCCCTAACCGCCTCTGCCTGCTGGCCTGATCCTCCTAACTGCTCTCCCCTGCCGTCCTGATCCCCCAACTGCTCTCTCCTGTCGGCCTTATCACGCCTAACCACCTCTGTCTCGGCCCCTTCCACCGTGGCTTTTTCTGGAAGGATGTCCGATCTAATTAGCATATTACCCTTTTATTAGTGTAGATGGTTTTTCAGCATAAAATTTCAAGAGCAGAAATTATCCTAAAATATTCAATATAATAAACCAGTTAAAAATAAAAGTCTGCAAAGAATTCATTTACCTACTAATTTTAAGAATCAGTCTATATTTAATAGTCAATACAGGTGTATACCTTATTTCCTAAACTCTTACTGTGTGGATTTATGAAATCTATTTTAAATTATTTTGGGGAATGGAAAACATTTTTGGTCTTTATAAATTCTCTTAATACTGTACTTAATTTTCCAATGATGAAAGTTGACTTTTTGGGAATGAGATATATACTAATATTGTAATTTTGGAATGCTAAAAGTGGGAGATTAAATTGAGAAGATGATGATTATAAACTTTAGCACTTTGTATTTTAAAAGTATATAAATATCATAACTTTAGGTTTCAATTCCTTTTCTTCAATTGTTTTTGATTGAAGAACACAGCTTATGTTTTTCTTGCCTACTACTGTACTGTGCTATGACTTGAAGCATTTTCCTTCTAACAGTATGTAATCTTTATCCATGGGCAAATACCATCACATGTCATTTCAGCCCCTTAGAGGCCTTGCTTTTCCATTTGTACCTCTGGTACAGATTGAAAAAGTAAAATCAAGTTAATTATTGGGACCTCGGAGTGGTTCTTAAAGAATTCATTGTCTGTTTTGTGATGTAAAACATGTATAACTCTTCATCTTTGTTAGAGATGGGTGAAAAGTTTATATTAAAACATAAATACAACTTAAAATCAACTACATGTTGGGGTAAGTGTACTTTATCTTCCCTTTTTCTCTTAAGAGAATTAAGGTCTTACAAGTCTTACGTTCTTTGAAGTGAATTTCAATTTGTGTATATATTGTGGTTTGAGATGTTATTGATATAGTTGGCTTTTGTTTTCAGTGCTCAGTTTGCTGGACTACTTTGTGAAGAAGAAGGGAATGGTGCAGATAACGTCCAATACTGTGGCTACTGTAAATACCATTTTAGTAAGCTGGTAAGAATTTAATATTAAAATGCTAAAGTGATTAGTTTTGACAGTAGAGTTGACTCTTTTTAAAAGGGCATAATAGCTATTCTTTTTCCTTTGATTTTTGCTTGAGATTAGGTTTGTTTAGCATGCTCTTCACTGGGGATGAAAAGATCTATTCATTTTAAAAGATTTTGCTTTGTTTCAGTTCATTTATAAAGGTGACTATTCTAAAATTCTAATTTAAAACATATATTGATAGTTAATAGTAAATGTTGGTATACATTTAGTAGAAAAAGCACATGTTTAAAGAACACTATAACTCAATACTATTTTCATTTAATTTGATTTTAACATTTATATACATTTTGTGATTCTCTGTCACTTCTCATTTTTTTTTTTTTTGCTATATTACTATTTATTTTTATATATACATTTACTTACTAGGAGATAGTAAAACTGAAATAAGGCTGCTTTGTGACTTCTTAGTTAAAGATCTTAATTAACTATATTTAAATACAACTTTGGTGAATATTTTAGATTTGGTCAGTCTTTTTTGTTACATAATAGCATGGGTGACTAAGTAATATTTGATTACCTGTTAACTATTTTGTGTTCATGTCCTTTGAAGGATAGAATTTCTTTAATGTCTCAAGTGTCTATTTCTCAGTTGTCATTGATAACAGTCAGATATATATATATATATACTGAAGTTTAAGGCTTCTTTGTTTTTCTTTAGTGTCTTTTTAAAAATTTAAAAAAAATTCTATTATTACCTTTCCCTTGTGGATGGGACTCCCTCCCTCCCTCCCTCCTTCCCTCCCTCCCTCCCTCCCTCCCTCCCTCCCTCCCTCTCTGCCTGCCTTCCTTCCTACCTTGCTGACTTCCTTCGTTCCTTCAGCCTGCCTGGTAGATACCATTATTGTGAGCCCCTTTCTCTTGAATGCACAGAACATGACTGCTGGATTCTGATTCATGCAAAGAAATTACTAAAAGTATATATATATATATGTGTATATATATATGATGTGAAGGCTGAATGTATTTTAATGACCGACAGAATACTGAAGTGTGTAAGAGAAAATTTTGAGATAGTAAAATTGAAAATTTTGCTTCTTGAATGTTAAAAGCATTGGATTTTCATTTTCTAAATGAGAGATGAAAATAGATAAAATACAGAAATAATAAAAATGGATTTTGAAGTTTATATAAATAGAAGTTTATATAAATTCTAGTTATTGACATGCTGTTCTTCCATTTGCTAGTAGAGGAATAAAAAGTTTTTTAGTAATTTAAGATTGTATAAGGTCTATATTTATATAGAATTTGAGCACCTTTTATAGTCATTTTTATACAGTGTAAATAATTATGGTACCACCAAGTTTTAAATACCTCAAATAACCCTCACCATACTTTATTATGAAGTTGTGTAAATACTTTAAACAGAAACGTGTAATATTTTTAGTAATGCTTTGAAAAATGCGTGGGTCTGTTACTGACATTTTCTTTAATTTTTTTTTCTTAACTGCAGAAACAAGTTTTTTAGAAAGCTGTAATGCCTTAATACTTTTGAGATCAAAAGGCTTTTTGCTTTTCCTAGAGGCATAAAGTAACTCTTCAAATATTTTCTTTTCTTCTAGTCTTGGCATCGTTCTTCAATATGGCATTTTCTATTTTGGTTGAAACTTTTTTAAAGCAGAAATTGAAAATTATACTTGATTTCTTTAATGAGTGGTTTTGTGATAAAGTGACAAATAAGCTACTGCTTGTTTGAAAATAGTGTTCACACATTTTAATAAATGTACAAAAATATGGCATTAATGTTAAATTTAAGTTTAGATTTTTCTTTATAATTTAATAGGTAATATAATGGAGGGTGTGTAAACGGATTATGTGATTTAAAATAGTGAGACATTTTATCTTCAGTAGACATTTTGAAATATTTCACACTTGAATTGGTTTAACCCTAACAAAAAGATTATTTAAAAAATTTTATATACATATACATATATGTATATTTTTTTCTTTTTTAGAAAAAGAGCAAACGGGGATCTAATAGGT